TTCCCCTAAATACAGACAAAGGGGAGACAGGATCTAAGTTCCCAGAACACAAACCGGTTTGCAAATAGTTTTTGACTGCCAATGGATGGAATATTCATTTTTCTTCTTCAAATGAACAGTTTTATAATCATAGCAATTGAAATGCAACCAAACACTTTGCTGGACACACAGTGAGCACTTAAACAATAATCAGCTCTGAGTTAATTTGAGCAGTCGCAGCAGAAATAAACAACCGGGAGCATATGCTGACTGCCAGCTCCGAGCCGGGCCCTGCCGAGGGCAGGTGACCTCCGAGAGGCTCTGGGTCTGGCAGTGGAGACAGCCTTTGAGAAACAAGTCCAGGGAATCCCGACTTAGGAAGGGGACCTGCTCTGGGCTCGGACAGGCGCCACGCCAAGGGGGAACGTGGACATCTTTAGGGGAGACGGGGAGCAGGCAGGGGCACGGCCACTTGTGCATGCTCCAAGTGGACCCTGCGAGGCGGTGAGGCGGTGAGGGACTGCCGTGGAGGGCCACTCAGGAGACCAGCAAACAGTCCAGGGGCGAGACCAGGCAGCTTGCACTGTCACAGAGGTGACGGGGGCGGGGGAGGGAACTGAGAGGTGATTCTGGGGCAGAAGGCGGGAGCTCTGAGGAGGGGAACAAAGAACCAGTCCTGGGGGCACAGCAGTGCCACTCCTGGAGTGGGAGCTGGGGGAGGAGGAGGAGGAGGAGGAGTGGAGCTGGTGGGGAGCACCTGTTCAGATTGGAGGTCTGTGGAACATGGGAGCACCTGCTGGAGGTGTTGGGGAGGTGACAGCTGCATAGGAGGGAATGGGAATGACCTCTCAGGTCAGCAGGGCAGAAGGAATCGGCCAGGGCACTCAAGGGTGCTGAGAAGGCTCGTGGCAGCCAAGCGGCCTTCTCCAGCCTCCCATGGCAAGCTCCCGTGCCTGCGACGCACCCGTAAAACTAGGAGCTGCTCTCGTGGGGGTGTCCGACCCTCTGTCACAGCTCTCGGGAAGCCAGGGTGGGGCTTGGTTTGGGCCGTAGTTTACCCAGCTTTTCAGACTTTACATGAATGAGGTTTAGAACCCTCCGCTTAAACGGAATAGAGACACTTTTCAGTACTGCTGTTTGGAATCTCTCAGACATCGATCAATGTGGGGAAACCTAACGCAGGGAGCCCTGGAAGGGGTCTGCCTCCTCCTCCCACCTCCCTGTCAGTGGAGGACTCAGCCCCTGGCCGAGGGCACACAGCGCTGGCAGCCCACACCCAGACGAGCATCTACAAACTGGGCACACACAGTCGGTCCCAGGCCCTGAGGGAGGGCTGCCCGGAGGGAGTGGCCAGGAGAAGCAGAGGTGCTGCTGCTGGCTTTGCAGTGGGAACGAGCTGCCCTTTGCCGCAAACAGCATCCGGGCGGCTTTCCTCTGTGGTAGCAGGGGTACCAGGCCACACTCTGCCTTCTTCCTACCAGCTGCTGGGGACGAGACCAGGCCATGCGCACAGATGGGAAGCACCTGGCGGCCTGCCCGCCTTAGCTTGTACAGGGAGCAGCGTGGCTACTTCTGCTGATTCCTCGGAAGGCAGGGGGGTCTGGGCAGGGTGTGTCCAGGCTCTGCCTGGGGAGGGGGGGGACACTGCTTCCCTACTCCTTCTGTCGCCGCAGAAACACACACGTTTCCTGTCCCCATCACCCTGGAGAACGAGGTGGGCGGGGGTCCTGAGCTCGTCTCTGTGCCCTCCCTCGGTTTGGAGGAAGGAGCTGAGCTGGCTCCCTCACTCTCAGGCTCCCTCTGCTGCCCGCTGCGCCCCCTGGCGGGGAGCTTCCGGGCAGTTCTGCCCTGGGCGAGGCTGGCAGGTGTCCACCAGCCTGTGCACGGTGACGCACTTTCAAATTCAGAAGCAAAGCTGGAGCAACCATTTGGTCTCAGGTCTCCCAAACTGGCGCCCTGGGAGCTCTTCCCCATAGCCCCTGTCGCTCTGGCTCAGCTGGTCCACGTGCTGATCTGACTCCCTCAGGATGCGCCAGTAGTGTGGGGACCGAGGACTGCTGCACTCGATGCGTAGTGTGTCTAGATATCTGGGTGAGCAGATGTGTAAGGAAATAGAGGAGCAGCCACAGTGACCACGGAGAAACGCACAAGGCAGCAGCAGCTCTCACCTCGACCCCACACTCTGCCTTCTTGCCAGCCCCTCCGCACACCTGCTGTCGGAGGGCTCTGCAAGGGGCCACCCTGTGGGATGGCCCCTACCCAGCTCTCTGGGCTGCCCCACACCTGCACCAGCTTTGCAAGGTGGACAGAGGAATGCAGCCTCCATCCCCGGCAGCAAGCTAAGTGTTCTTAAAGGATAAGACTCACGGAAACGCAAACTCAAGGGAAGGACTTTTCTGAGGTCGGCGTGCACACAGCTGAAGTCCCAGTACGAGTGCATGCTGGCTGGACCACCCTGGGTTTCGGGCTGGCAGTGTGGTCTTGGGCAGGTCCCTTCATGGCCCTGAGCTCCAGCTCTATGTCTGTAGGATGGGGCTAAACGTCCTTTCCTGGCAGAGACGCACAGGGTACTGGGAGCCGAGGAGAGTCCATTATTTTCCAAAGAGAGAATACACCACCGGGGCTCCCTGAGCAGCTTTGGTGACCTGGGGATGAATGCTTAGATTTTCTATATGCCCAGGAAAAGCTGAACCAGTGGCACCAGGCCTACGGTTTTACCAATGCCATCTCTTAACACGAGGCTAAAGTTGCCTGGTTGTCAGGTTGGAGTCTGGTTAACCAAAAATATACATTACAAAAAAAAAAAAAAAAAAAGAGTCCATAGGGGAATATGACAATAATTTCTGAAATGGCGCTCAGAAGTCTCTTCACTGGGGAGCGTGGTGAGTCCCTAACACTCCTGCCTGACAGAGGCACGTGCCCTGGAAATGCTGCCCGGTCCACCCGGTGACCCATCAGGCGCAGCACCCGGGCAAGGACCAAGGCCAAGCTACCACGGGGCAAAGCTGCAAAGAGTTAAAAGAAAGGGGTGTGCGGTTTCCCGGCCCATCCCCCCACAGCTAATCTGTCACCTAATGAAGAAGGGGCCGGCACAAGTGAGCTGGCTGGCAGTTCACTTACAGCAAACTGATTAAGAATGTTCAACCAACAGCAGGCTCTAGACCTTTCCAGAGAAAATAAATAGAGTGTAGACTCTATGCAAATGTGTTTGTCACTTTGACAGCACGTCTCAATTAAGGCATCTCGCGGCTGTGGGTAGGCTCTGCGGCTGCAGCTGGAAGGGAGAGCGCACTGCATGGCTGATACTGGGGGCTTGACCTTAATCCGCATGCATGCATTAAAAAAAAAATCCTGCCTTCCTGTACACTTGCATAATGCTGGCAGCCACGTGAGGGAAGTGACAAACGGGGGGAAAAAAGCCACTTTCATCCTCTCCAGTTTGCAGACCTGTGAAGGCACAGACAGCTCTTATTTCAACAGAGTTTGGGGTGGCTTTTTTAATTGTTTATCCCCCACCCGCGAGCGGGCGCGCGGATGCACACTCACTCTTATTCTGTATTTAGCTGGGAGTGACATGAAAGCATCTCTACTTCTTGCTGAAATGGAAAGAGGGTCTTTCTCCATTTCAAATAGGGCCCTCTTTTTTGTGTGTTTCGAAAAATGGAATGTTTAACACCATGAAACCCCTCTCCCCCGCCCCCTCTTTCTCTGTAATGGGCTCCCAACTCCGGCGAGGGGCTCCTTTCATGGGAAGGTTAGTGTGTGCGGGAACGAGGACAAAGGAGAGGAGGAAGCCGACTCTGGAATGCCACGCCGGCGACAGCTAACAGGGCCTCGCTTTCAGCCAGCGCAGCCACGGAACCCGGGTGCTGAGTTCTCGTGAGGGGCGGGAGCTGGGGGGGGGGTGGTGGTGGCGGCAGCTGCTGGGGGAGGGGACACGGGCCGGATGAGCACTGCCCTTGGAGTTTCTTTCCTGAGCCGCATTTCAGTTTTTAGAAATGTCCCTTTCAGGTGTGACATCAGGAGAGGGGGCGAGCCTCCCCGGGCTAGAGACGTGAACGGATGATGTGAGAGCGCTGATAGGAGACGCACGCTTCCCAGGCTGCGATCAGCTCACCCCTGCAGTGGGGAGCACTTTGTGACCCGGTAAATGCCTGCTGGGGAGCGGGAGCCTCTCAGAGGTCCTTTTTGCGGTGACACTGTAGTCACAGTTAGGACAAAAATCACAAAGACTATCTGGAAGATGTCTGAAGAATCAGGAGATTTGAGGGTACACTTGCACATTCTTGTTAACGGCAGGTCTTGCTCAACGAGCCATTCCTCACCAACCAAAACCAAATAACCTTTGCTCATCAAAAGAGCCAACTCCAGAGAAGTAGAAGGGGTGCCCAATCTCTCCGACCAAAAATACAACCAGGGACAGGAAATGGATTAAAAGAATGTTAGTTGCAGTCTCGGCACAGTGTTTTGCACAAGGGGAAAAAATCAAACAAATGGACAGTCTCTCAAATGCCTGGGTCGCTGAACGTCGTTGGTTAGAGACTCACACCTCTGGAACCGCAGCGCGAGTGCTTACTCCGGGAAGCCCCATTCCCGACATCGATCTTCAGGAAGTACGCTAATAAAGAACTCCTAATTGATTTTTTTTTAAGACTTCGCTTGTTGCCTTTTATTTGAAGGTGCAAAGAAGGGCCTGGGATGCTAAAGTGTTCTAATGAGATGCTTAGCTAACGGAGGCACCTTCAGCCCAGTGCCTGGCAGTGGGGGAGGCGGCAGCTGCCTGTAATGACTTCATTCAATAGCTGAGCTGGTTTATGACCAGAGCCATGCTGTCTCCCTGAGATTTTTGAAAATGCACCTTCAAAACATGTTTGCACCAAACACACATTTGAAGATGTGAGAAACTCCTCGCGGTTGCTTTGCTGAAGAGAGCCGAAATGGGAAAACTGCCTGCTGCCTGTGCCGCAGGTTTCTGCTGAAACCGAGAAACCATCCAGGCCTGGGAAGGGCCGGGCACATACCTGTCCGAAGTGGACGGTGATCGGCCTGCGGTCTTCTCGGAGCCTGGGGTCCTTGGCCTCCACCAGAGGGGACGGCGCAGTCTTTGGCAGCTGCTCCTCCGTGGAGGGTGCACAGCCATTCTCTGTGATGTCCTGCAGGGGGAAACACGGCGGGAGTCGGGGTTGGTGCTGGTGCCAGGTGTCCGGGCCCAAACCCCACAGCCAACAGGTCCGCCCCAGCCTATCCTCCCCAGAGAGGTGGAGGAAATGGAGGGCTAACCTGACTCTTGGACTTGCAAGCACTAGAGAAACCAAAACAACCCACGTTCAATTACAACGATAACACAGTAATGCAGGATTATGGCAAAGAGAATCATCTTTCATCCTGCTATCTCACACGGCTATTTTCCTATTCACTTTGTCTACATGCAGACATTTAAAAATTACTTGCAGTCACAGCTCATGCATAATTTTACATCCTGCTTTTCCCAATTTATTAGAAGCATCTCCATGGTGTTGCACAGTCATCATCATCATCATTTTAATGGATGCATAATAGCTCATTGAGCAGATAAACAATGATTTATTAAACCATTCCACCCCACTACTTTGGGCATTTAGATTGCATCTAAGTTTTTTTTTTTTTCCCTTTCTAAATACCAGTGACACATACTGCAATTCTTCTTCTTCTTCTTTTTTTTTTTTTTTTTTTTTTTTTGGTATTTATGCTTTTACAGAGATCCCTGGGAATGAAATGGCTCGGTCAAAGGATAGGAACACGTCTAGGGCTTTTTATTCATCCTACCAAACTGCTTTCCAATTTACACCAACTACCAGCAATGGACGCATTATCAGTTTCATGAGACTTGTTAGCCTTGTCGTTTTAAGAATGTATCGCTAATTTAATAGGTGAAAAACTAGACTACATTGTTGTTCTAATTTGCACAACTTTGATTATTTGTGCGTGTGGACACGTTTCCTGTGCTGGTTCACTGATGGTGCTACTGTCTGGGAACCGTGTGCGTGGCTGGAGCCTCTTCCCCCACCCCCGTGGTCTTCAGGGCAGAGGAGGAAGAGACTGAAGTCCCAGGGAGGCCTCTGTGACTCAGGAAACATCAGGGTAGTAAAGCATATTGTTAAACCCAGAGGGTAACATTAGGCTGTGCTGCAGATGAACCAAGTCAAGTCACCAGGACTCGAGGAACCCCAGTGTGCAAAAGGCAGGGCACGGCCCACTGCTTCAGGCTGGCCGTCTCGTATGTTCTCCAAGCCAAGAAAGTCGCTTCAGCGTCATGGAACAGGCAGAGAATAAATGCCCAAAGAGGTCACACAGAAATAATCTTTGTGTTTTATTCAGTCTAAATAACTCACAGCCAGAATTAAATAATAACTACCATTTCTAATTCTCTTTACTACAACAACACATAGGCATTTGGGTCAACAAAATGTGTACCCTTGATACTCGTAGAGACTGGATAACTGGTCATTCCCAACTTCTCAGCTGAGGAGAGAACGGGGGACACGCAGGGAGTGTTCCCTCACTGCACAGCGGTGCAGCTAACATCTCCAAGTCTGAGGTAGGTGGGTAGGGTAGCTCTGAGGATGAAAGGAGACAGACAAGGCAACCGAGGGTCTAGAACACCGTTAGCTTCCATGACGGGAGGCACACAGACACTTGCATGTGCCACCAGGCAGATTTACAGACATCGGCCCTAACAGGCCCAGCCTGCCTAGCTCCGGGCCGCCTCTCCCGAGGAATCAAGGCTGCGGAGAGGCCAGCCCTGGGGAGCCTCTGCTGCTTGTGAAACAGCACAGGGAGAGGAAGGCTTCTCAGCTGTACTTGGGGTGAGGGGGCGTGGGTCAAGCGGCCACCTGGGAAGGGTCAGTCTCAGCCAGTGAGAGTGAGGCTGAGCAGTGTCAGAGGCTGTGGAACCAGTGGATGGAAGAGCTTGTGCTCTGTCTGCCTCTCTCTTTCAAATTAAGGAGAGAGAGAGAGAGAGAGAGAGAGAGAGAGAGAGAGAGAGAGAGATGCTCCTTTGGAGAAGGGCTGCCCAAAGGAGCTTAGGTCACACAGGATGAAGTGGGGGGGGTGCCTCTGTGTCGGGACGTGACAGAGGAGGAGGGGGCATTCTGGCTCCAGGTGGGAGCACCCAGAGGAGGACACGCGAGTGCAAGAGGCCCAACAATCACAAAGCCGCTTCTGATTCAGGGCAAGAGTGTGTGTGCGTGTGTGTGTGTGTGTGTGTGTGTGTTTGGAAAAAAAGATTTAACTGCAAAATAACATGGCGAGAAAACCCTGATAGGAATGAGACACTGTAGGATGACAAAGCGATTTCCAAAAGGAAGTGCACGGGGCAGTTTTGGGAAAAGCAGCTTAGTTTAAGCCTCTAAGTCTTAGAGTCTTCTAGTCTCACGCTGACCACGAACTCGCGGGCTGATCTCGCCAATTCCCTCGGCCTGCCTCTCAGCACCTAGTCCTTTATCTTTACGGGGGCGGGGGGGGAACACCACCTGCTCGGCAAGCATCTGAGCTCCCAGGAGAACGGGTTCACTGTGACGTCACAGCACTTTGTAAAGGCAGCCTCTGACGTGCACCCTGTGCAAAACTAAGCCACCCCTGGCAGGCACCCGCACACCCTTGGCCTTCACACTCACACCCAGGTCCCACAGCGATCACATGGGGGACAGGACCACCCCTCCTCTCTAGGGCTCACAGAGGGTAACTTCCCCAAGGCCACAAGGGGAAAGCAGAGGGCCTGCAGCCATCGACTCCCGGCATTCATGCTGGACCACCCCCTAGCAGCAGAGGGGAGGGGTTCAGAACTGAGGAGGGGCTTGGCAGGTCGCGGACGGGACCTCTCCCGGCTCCTCTTCCTTGGCAACGCCTCAAGTTAATCACATCCCTCATCCGCAGCCTGAAAGCAGGGCCGCAGGCTCTCAGCTTCCTCTCTAGGTGGCAACTCCGACGTGCTCTCCAGAAAACCTCCATAAAGTTCACTTGAAACTTTGGAAGGCAAAGGTGCCCAAGAGACACATGTTCTTGAGTCCATAAGCAAGCCACACACTGGTTTTATTTAGTTGGGTGCAGATGATCTCTTACAAGGGGCTGGCGCTGTGGCACAGTGAGCTAAGCTGCCGCCTGCAATACCAGCATCTCGGATGGGAGCGCTGGTTTGAGTCTTGGCTGCTCCCCTTCATTTTTTTTTTTTAAAGATTTATTTATTTATTTGGAAGGCAGAGTTACAGAGAGGCAGAGGCAGAGGCAGAGAGAGAGAGAGAGAGAGAGGTCTTCCATTTGCTGGTTCACTCCCTAAATGGCTGCAGCGGCCAGAGCTGGGCCGATCCAAAGCCAGAGGCTTCTTCTGGGTCTCCCACGCAGGTGCAGGGGTCCAAGGACTTGGGCCATCTTCTGCTGCTTTCTCAGGCCACAGCAGAGAACTGGATGGGAATTGGAAGAGTCGGGACCTGAACTGGTGCTCATATGGGATGCCAGCACTGCAGGCAGCGGCTTTACCTGCTACCACACAGCACCAGCCCCGAGGCTGCTCCGCTTCTTATCCAGCTCCCTGCTAACGAATCTGGGAAGCAGCGGAGAGTGGTCCAGCTGCTTGGGCACCTGCCACTCACGTAGGAGACCCAGATGTAGTTCTGGGCTCCTGGCTCTGGTGTGAACCATCCCTGGCTATTTGGGCATTTGGGGAGTGAACCAGGGGATGGAAGATCTCTCCCTTTCTCTCTCTCTCTCTCCCTCACCATCACTCTGCCTTCCAAATAAATGAATAAATCTTAGGAAAATAATTCTTACAAAGTGCTTTGTCCTGCTCCACCCATTTGTCCATTGTTTCACTCTCTACTCCAGCTGGGGCCAACAGCCTTCTACCAGGAGGCCAAGGGGAGAAGAGTGGGAGGAGTCGACAGAAACAGGAATGGTTCACAGCCCAGGCTTCTGCTCGTATCCAATAGCAATGATCTCATGGTCCCCTCACACACCACAGAGAAGTTCCAAGATCCTGGGGACTGCCTGACACATACAGACCAGGTGTTTTCCTGCACATATACCCTATGAAGGAGTCCAATTTATAAGTTAGGCATCGTGACAGAATAACCATAGTAATAGTAAACTAGAACAAATGCATTAATAGAGGGTAGTACAGGTCTCAGGGGTGGGGTTTTCCTCTCCCTCTAGTCCTGTCCTGCAGTGCTGGCTGAAACCGTGGGGAGTGAAGGGGCCAGGGACAAGTGGACACGGCTGCAGGGGAGCCACGAGCTACAGCTTCTGAGGCCTGGCGTTGGACACTGAGGCCTAGGAACGAACTTGGCCATCAGCCAAGGGCTCGGGACACAGGTGCTCCACACCCTTCTGGTGGGAACGTGAACAGGCAGTTTGCATGAAGAGCCTAAAAGGCGTGTGAACCCTTGGGCCTGTTCATTTCCTGTTTGGAAACATATCCTAACGAAATAATACGAACTCTGGCAAAGTCCTGCCCACGAGGACACATGCCTGGAAAAAACTGGAACCGACTGAGGTGTGTGCAACAGTGGATGGGTGAGCACGTATTTACGGGGTGGGGAGGGGAGGGCCTTCAGGAAGCTCATGGAGAATGCATATTGTGAGCAGATTATTCATGGATTCCAAACCACTGCGAACCAACAGAAACTCGCCATTTAATTCCGCTTTCCACAAACTTTCTAAAGAACCTCTGCGTGTCAGTGAGATGTAAGTTTATGAAGCTCTTTAAAATGACGACTGGTGGAAGAGACATTTAGTGGTCTGGGCGACGTATGGGACGTTAGGAAATGAGATTGTTATTTTGTTTCTTGCTTTCCTGATGTGTTGAATGTTCCCCTACAAATGTGCATCTTGTTTGCAGACAGGGGAAAAAAAAAAGCTGACCTTCTAAATGTCATTGTTAGAAAGCAGAATCGAGAAGCTGACAGGAGGGGTAGAGCCGTGCCTCCCGGAAGGGTCCCGCAGGAGCGAGACACCCACAGAGAGCAGCACCAAGGCCCTCCCAGGGGTGCCCCCTCCCCCAGCACTGCAGCGTGGCTCCCACTCCCCAGCCCGGGGCAAAGCCCAGCAGCAGGAAAGACCCTCTTCCCAGCCCCATCCCTGAGCACTTACTGGGGTCAAATATCACGGTGGGTCGGCCCCCCACCCGCCCGTGGAGAAGCATACTATGAGGCCCAGGGAGATGGCAGGGAGGCAGGGTCTGGGGAGACCTGAGGACAAAGAGGGCTCAGAGGGACTGGGGGTGGGAGCAGGCCACGGAAGAAGCTGAGGCCAGGGCTTCGCGAGGCGGAGATGAAGGAACAGCGTGCACACGTCCAGGGGACAGCGCTGTCCCTCCAGTGGCTGGTGCCCCAGCCGCCCAGGCAGAGACACAGAAGGTTTAGAAGGTGGGAAAGGTTTTAACCAAGAGACTGATCTGTCAGTGCCATGTCCTGGAAACATTCCTCTGCTGGTGCCGGGGGCCTCCGGGGAGGCGAGCAGATGCCCAGCGCGTCCTAGGCTGCCCCAGGTGTAGGATGTGAGCAAATGGACAGAGGGGACTCCGTCATCTGCTCAGTGGCCTCTTGCAATCCTCATGGCAACCGCGTGCCAGGCTGTTTTCTCAGGTTTATGGGTGAGGCAAACTAGATTCAGAGAGGCATAGTAACTTATCCAAGGTCACACAGTTAGTATCCTGCATAACCAGCACTGGCAACTGGCTCACCAGCCTCCGAAGCGCAAACAGCACGTTACTGTGCAGGGGGGGGGGGAGCTTAAAGGTGCGGTGGTGGGAGGCTGGCTCCCTCCACCGCTGGCTGGGACGGCTGGTGGGGGAGTTACCCATCGCCACCTTCAGACTCACGCAGCCTTTCTACTCAGTGCAGCCCACACCACAGCAAACACAGATTAAAGTGAATATTGATATCAAACTAGTAGCCGATGTTGGAGTCTCTGTGATGCAGGCTGCAGCAGGTTTTCCTGTGCCTGGAGACAGGGAGCTGACAGTTGTGTGATAAGGTGTGAAAACAGCTGCTCTCGAGAGCCTATCCCGCGCTCCGGGCCCTCACGCACTTAGGCGTGCCCTTCTTTGCGCCGGGAATGTTTGGCCAGAAACTCACATCAACTGTGAATCTGCTCCCTTCGGTCAGAGACGTCACATCAACAAGCTCCATTTGTCTTCTGAAGACCAAAGATCTGGAAGCTTTGCAGAGTTTTTGGGCTGTAAAGTGGGCCCCTCTGGAAAGACACGTTTTCCAGGGGCTCCTCGGGAGGCAAGAAACTCTGTCTTATGCGGCTGTCCTAAAGCTCTCTTGTGGCCCAGGAGCAATGGGTGTGTGGCCACCGTCTGGAAAAGAGGCCATCCTGGTGCCAGCCTTGTCCCGCCCACTGCTGGCTCTACCGGGGAGACGCCCCGGAGGGACGCCTGCCATTCTCCCTTAGAAAGCTACGGCTGGCTGGTGTCTTTGCCTTTCTTTTTCTTCCTCCTAATTTTGAGCAAGAGAGACTTCAAAGGAGGCCAAGCTAGACAAGAACTTGACCAGGTTGCTTTTTTTTTTTTTTTCCTGGGGAAATACGTTCTCCATCCCCATCTTTTTTTGGTGTTGTTGTTGGACTGAAGCAGAGCAGGTAAAGAAGAAAGACAGACAAAGGCTCCAGGAACAATGATTTGCCAGTGGCCACACAGACACCTCCAAAGCTTCTCTCTCCCATGCTTTGAAAAATCTGTGGTACAAATGAGCAAGGGATGGAGAAAGGGGCCCTGCTCCGACATATTAGAGACGGACCCCCGTTTGTTTGCAATTCAAACCCAAGGCGAGAGCCAGGAGGGCAAGACCGGGTTCGCGATTCTGTCTGCGAGGTCATCATTGCTATGCAGAGCAGAGGAGGCCAGGCGGCAACCCAGCACAGCCGACACTTGGCTCTTGGCTGGGGACTGCCCCGACTGCTTAGCGCCGGAAGCCAGACTTGAGATGTCTGTGGCAGGTGCATCTGGAGCGCCACGGAGATGTGTCGCCACGCGGAGGGGAGGGGCATGGAGCTGAAAAGCCAGGGAAATATTTTCTGCTGCACCGAGGGAGGTCAGGCGAGGCCAAATCCTAAATTGGCTCAAGAAAGGGAGCTGGGGCTCTCCCGAGACCCAAGGCCTGTGTGTGTGCTGCACAATGCTGCAGTTTCAATTACAAAATAGCTCTTGCAGGAGCAACCGCAAGACATCAAACCTGTGGAAATCTCTACGAGCGAAGGGGGGGAAAAGTGAAAATTGAAAAGGGTGCACTAATAGATCTGTCAACAGCCCCATGGTGACAAGCCACATTTCTATAAAATGCCTTCGCCGTGTGTCACCTGAGAGGGACTGACACACTCTATAGAACATCATCTCCTGAAGCGATTCTTGAAAAGACTGGCAGGGGGGAGAGAGAGGGGAGGGCAAGAAAAGGTGCCTTATAGACTTTTGAGGACCGGAAGGGAGGTGGCACGGAAGGGGAGCGATCTAGATCGTCTTGAGGAATTCTTGAATGGTGGCGGTACAAAACCTGGTTATTGGGAAATGTTCTGTGTTCTAAGATGGGGTTGTCATCTAAGCTGGCGCTTGCCGTACGAGGAGGAAGGCAGGGGGACGTCTCACGCTCCTTGGCGTGCGCAGACGAGATGCGGCCCGCAAGGGTGCAGCTGTCCTGGGCCTGCCGAGCGGCCCCTTTCTTGGCCTATTTCAGGGAATATTCTAACAGCAACCCAAGTCAGCAGGGAAGGAAAACTCCCTGGCCCTGCCACTCCACTGTGATTCTGTGATCCAATTCAGCTACATGTGACTGGGAAAGGAGATAAAAGCTCAATGTCGAGACTCGAATAACATCCGAGTGAAGAATTCCACCTGCCTGTCTCGGGCAGGGTGCGCCAGACTGCTGCGCCAGACTGGATTTACGTTACAGGGATTTTAGCTCAGTATGTGAGTCTTGGCTGGTTTAAAAAAAAATAAAAGAAAAAAAAAAGGAAAGCAACAAAAAACAAAAAACTCACCGTCAGCTGGAACGAAGAATTTAAATGCTTAGTCAGAGCAAATTATTTTCCAATTAAAAGAAAGGAATCAATTCCTCTGACCATTTGCAGTTAATTAGAGGCCTTTTCTGAGTTGGTAAAATTAAAACTGCTTTCAATTTTTTAAAAAATTTGCCAAGATATACAAAGGCTCTTATTACAGGAGCACTGTTTTGGGGTGCGGGTGGGGGCGTGAGGATAATGAAGTAAGAGGTCCCAGGCATGTGGCGGGAAACAAAACACTTCTTTTAGGAAGGCAGTGCCAAAGACCGCAGCTGCAAGCACACACCCGCTGCAGCTGGGGGGGTCTGGAATCGAATCCCGGCCCTGCCAGGCTTAAACAGGGTGGCTGTGGGCAAAGCGCTGCACTTGGGAATCAGTCTCTCTGTGAAGCGGGGTTAAGGCCCCACAGGGTTGTTCTAGGGACCAACTGTGAAAGTTCCTAGCCTGGACCATTCTTAACAAGTGCTGGACAAAGGGTGGCCACAATACTGGCCATGGTGGCGTTCATCATCACATAGCAATGCCCTCTCTGCTATAGGAACCACACCGTGCGAGGCTAGATTCAGGTTGGGGGCACCTGAGCTGGGGTAACAGCCTGTCTGACCTCACGCACTTTTACTGGCGGTCCAAGGAGACACCCAGAGCCTATCCCTTTGCTGCCCAGAGTCTCAAAACCAAACTGCCAGGATCCTCTTATTCCAACCGCTGTGGCGAAGGGCCCCACAGCATCCGGCCCAAACCCACCCTTTGTGCCGGGTCTGCGGTCTGTGTGGAGGCAGGGTTCTGGTTGTGCGCTGCCTGGGGCGGGGGCGGCTGGAGGAGGGGCTGGGATCAGGCTGGGGAGGCCAAGCCAGCTGCCGCAGATGCCTGTGAGCCCCGGGCCCGGATGGGGCTGGCAAGGGGCAGACCGACAGTGCTAACCGTGAACTTGCTTGTCTTTGTGGGTTTAAGCCAGAGTCTTAATGTTATTTGAAGACAGTTTTTTGTCTGTGAATATTTATAACAGTGTGAGCACTCCCGGACAGCTGGCAGCGCATTTTGAAGTGTGTTAACAACACCGTATCAAACAGCCCTCTATTGATCGCATCATACTTTTGTGTGGCCACGCATTTCATACATGGTGCTTATACATTTTGAATAAGAACTTCAAGTACCTTTTGCTTCAAGCGGTTTTTCACCTCTTTTATTCCCATTTTTGCATGATCTTTTGCCTGCATGAAAAATTAATTTAAGTTAAGATTCCCTTTCTGTTTCCAGCAGGGACTATGCTTGATTTCAGTCCATTGCGAATCACCTTCTCTGATTACTAGAAAAAGGAAGGAGAGACGGGATCATCAAGTCGAAAACATAATGGCTATGAAAACAAATAGAACGGTAAAAGGTTAAAAAAAAAACCCTTAAAGGGGCTGCAGAGATATTATTCCCGCATTTCCACGGCACAGTCCCCCTCCCCTTCCGGAGCCCTTCTTCCTCTCTAATTATTTATCCCGGCAGCCGGGTGACAGCCAGCAGTGGGAGCAGAACAGCAGCCCCTCCGATTTCACCAGGGCAGGGCCTCGGGGCCAGTGTTCGGCCCCGGTCAGTGGCCAAAACAGATGCCCTGCCAGAGGCTCCGGGGCCGCCTCCTCCACCCCACCCCGGGGCAATGCCCTGCTTTTCTATCTGATGTCATCTTAGACCGGTGTGGCTCTGTTAATAGAACTACAGCGTAAACACAGAGACACTTAACAAAAATTAAAAAAAAAAAAACGAATAAAATCAAACTACCCCATTTCAGTGGCTCAGGGTCAAATGAGCAAGTAAGAGAAATCACTTGGGAAAAGAAAAATACTTGAGGCCCGTAAAGCTTGGAGCGCAGGGAACGGCTGTGTTCTGTCTCGCTCTGCTGGGGCAGGGGTCTCACAGACAACGCATTTCCTACAGGGGGAGTGAGGAGACTCTGGGTGGGTGTGTCCCACTGTGGACACGCTCCTGAAGCCTGCAAGGGAGTGGCTTCGTTTCTGACAGAAGCAAGGGGATACCCACGGACGTTTGCCTGAACACCCGTGGGCCGTGCCTCTGGCTGGGGGTGGGGTGGTGGCCACGCAGCAGCCTGCATCATAAACACTAACACCAGTGGCCCGCCCCAGGGCTGCTGAGCCGGTCACGAAACTTCAGCGCTAAATAAACAGCCCTGAGACGGCCCAGCAGCCCGCGTCGCGTCTCTGCCCCAGAGGACGGGCCGAGGAGTCGCGGCGAGCCACGGCCCCGCGGAGCGCCACTTACGAACTTGTAGACGGTCTTCATGGCTGGGTTGGCCTTGGTTTTCACGGTGTTCAGGATGGCCCCGCTTCCTTTCTGCAAGGAAAACGCCCGTGAGGGACCCGGCGGAAGAGCGAGGAGGCCGACACCGACAGGGCGGCTGCTCTTCCTCAGGCAACATCCCGGGGGCGCGTGGTTCAGGTGGTGAAGCAGGCCTAGACGGTCACTGGTCTTGGGCGGCTACGGCCACAGTTCTGGCGGGCTCGCTCTGGGGGTGCGAGTGTGAGTGTGACAATCAGCTGAGGGGGGCTCTGGGCCTGGCATCCTGCTAGGCACCTGTCCCCAGGCTGTCGGAGGCAAGGGTTTCCCCACAGTCCTGGGTGGCTTTTCTGGAAGTCCTAGTGACCACAGATGAGGCTCGGGTGGGCGTGGCAGCTGGGGGGACAGCGGGGGTCCTGCTGGCCCAGCATAGTCTGGGAATTCTCTGCCCTCACCTGTGCAGCTTCCCTTCCTCACCTTGGTGTTCTGTGCTGCTTTTTAAAACCTCTGGTAGGCTGCCCTCCTTAACATCTACGTCTTGAGAAAAGGAAAAATGAAGAGCTGTAATGTTAACCAGGGCTTGGAGGGAAACCCGCCAGGGCCACGTCCTGCTCGCGGGCAGGAGGGAGCAGGGGAGGAAGAGGAGGGAAGGCCTGCCCCCCCCCCCCCCCCCCGGGAGGCAGAGTGTGCTACTGGCAAGTTTTGGTTTTGGAGTGGCCTGTGAATCCGCTCGCTGGCCTCACCCCTGCAGCAGGCGCAGTGAGAGCTCGCTGCAGGAGTCAGAAAGGGCCTGGTCTCTGCCTTCTAAGACCCTCAGCCCCGGGGCAGAAAACAGACACCAGGTGAGGAGAGCAGCGAGGGCTGTGTGCACCAGGGGGGTGGATGCACAGGCGGCCAGGAAGGGCCTCTGGGGACAAAACCTTTGATACGGCCCATGAAGGCTGCATAGGAGCTGACGTGGGGGAGAGGAGACTAGAACACTCCAGGGGCGGGAAGTAGCACATCATAAAGTGCAGAGCTGAAATGCCAGGGTGCGTTCTGTAACAAGGGGTTACTGTATCGTGGCCGGGGCGGGGCAGGAAGTGAGGCTGGGGGCCGGATGGAGTCCGCTCACCAAGGGCCCGAGACGCCAGGCTGAGGCGTCCACACTGTGGAAGGCTTTTCATCCAATGCATCACATCATCAGATCTGGGGCGCTTTGCAGAGTTAATTGCAACCAAAGGCGGACTGGAGCCAGCGTGTGCATGGGGAGAATGATGTGGGAAGCACTACTGGCTTCTCTTTTAGGATAGTTTTTGGTAACCGCCCACAGTAAAGCAAAAAAGTTGAGCTTTCACTAAAAACATGACAATTCAACCTAGAAAGCATTTTGTGTTGTGGGACAATAGGAAATTCTCAGCCACTCACTCATTCCATGCTGCCTTCCAGAGTGACTCAGTATCCTCCCCTCACGGCTGCTTGGAGGCTGGAACGCCCCTTATCAATCACTCAACAAGTCCTCCCTGCTTGTCTCGGATTTGCCAAGTGGTGTGTTTGGCCATAAGGAAGAACAAAGGAAGTCTTTCATCGGGGAACTGCTTGGTCTCAGCCAAGTGCGGCCACTTCCAAGGGACCCGCCTCGGCAGCAGCGCCCTTGGCCCAGGCGCTGGAGAGAACACTTATCACATTATACTGCAGCGGCCTGTTTACGTGCCTGCCTCCCCGACGGGTCGGGAGCCCCTCTCCCAGGGCTGGGCCCCTGGCCTGCTCCCCCACCCCCGACCCCAGGCACCTGGCACCCCGTGGGCCGGCGTCGGCACACGCTCAGTTACACGTGGGCGGGGAGGAAACGCAAGGCTTTGGACTCTGTAGCAGCCTTGGGAGCCCCCCACGCCTGGTTCCCGACATAACAAGAAGCTGTTCGTGACGGTGAGGAGACGAAGGTCCTCTGTGAAGGTGCGCCGCCCCTCAGGAGCCTTCGCCGGGGACGGACACTCTTCTGCTCTTCCTAGGACCGTGATGCCGCTGGCCCTAGCAAGAGACCCCAGCCGCGCTCTAGCCCACCGCCTTCTCTTTAGCAGGACCTGGCCTGCTTCCCTGAGACAAGGCGGCTTCTCCTGCCTCTCTCTACTCTCGGAAACGGTGGCTTTGTCATTCTAGTCTCCGCCTGCCGTGGGATGGCCTGGCAGTCAACACCACAGCGTCTTCTGCTGAGAAGAGAAGGTGCCAGGCCTCATGGCAGCCTTGCACTGGTCCGCCAGAGGGCCCAGGAGGGACCCAGGCCCCCAGGAGGAGCCGGGCGGGGGGCAGGAATGGGCGCACACTTACCCGGACAGTGGAGAGCCACTGATGGTACACTTTGTCACTGCCTGGGGAGAGAGAAGTCAGAAAGGCTGTGATTTAAAGGAGTTCTCCAGGCTGCTGTGGGCATACAGGACGGGGAGGACCATGTGGGCGCCCCCACGTCCCCAGCACTCACAGGAGCTACTTATCAGTGCGCTGACTACAGACCTCACAATGCCCCCCGCTGCCTGCAGGGCAGGAGCAGGCTCCCCAGCGACCCCACCTCTCTTCTCAGGTCTCAGCTCAGCCTCACAGCCCCTGCCTCTCCACCCCTGCTGCCACACCACACTGCCTTGCGCCCCAACCATGAGCACCTGCCTGGGCTTCCACGAACAAACCACCCCTGCTGCGCCTGCTCACCACTCCCCTCTCTCTGTTTAGTAACCTCACCAGTCGGCTCGGACAGCACTTGCTCTCCAAGTTTCTGAGCACAGTGCACCATCCCTGAGGTTCGGGGGGCCAAGCCCCTGGGGCTGTGCAGCCTAGCACGGCGTGAGGACCCTGCCCTCGGGACACTGGGCTGCGACAGGGAAAGAACGGTCTGTGGGCCCTGGTGGTTCTGTCTGGGGAGCTGAGGGTGCAGGCCATGCACTCTGTCCCCTCTATCCGGGGAACTGGGGACCCGTGTCCAGCAAACAGCTCCCCTGGAGGCTCCAAACGCCCGAACGCAGTGTGGCCCTCATAAAGCACGTCTTCTCTCCAGATCCCACTCGCAACGCCCAACACAGCTCAAACCCTTCTCCTGGGTGCAGCTCTCCCGCCACCCGGGGAGACACAGCAGAACTTCGCCCGAGCGGCACAAACATCTGCTTCTGCTCTAAGTTTCATTTGTCTGAGTCACTGCTTCTCTCTCCCCGCAGACTGAAAGCTCCTTGAGGGTGCCGCCGGGCAGGGATTCAGGAAATGGCCGTCAACAACCCGCCACTCCTGCCCCGGAGTGCCCCACGGGTGCCCGCCATGCAGCCTGGGCTGGCAGGGCCTGTGACACCCTAAGCGGCTCCTGTGCCCAGACAGGACACAGGGGGGCCGATACTGCATCTGCCCTGGCCTTCGCTACCTGGGACGGAGGCCAGGCTGGGGGTCGGGAGGCTCTGTTGGCCGCTCACACCTCTCTGGGCCTCGATGCCGCCTCTGAAGAGGGCTGCAGACCAGGCCCCTGGTAACAATGTTCACATCTAAAACAAACATTTACTAAGCACAGACCCTGCTCGAGACCATGGAGCGGTTGTCCCGACTCTGACCCTGTGCCATAGATGGCTCTCTCACTGCAAGGACAGGACACCTTTGGCTGGAAGGGCTGACAGGATGCCACCAAGGCCTCAGCGCCGGCAGTGAGGGGCAAAGTCCTGATATAACTGCAGGTTTCCCACTGCGACATCTCACAGGCTTTTGCCCTGTATCCTGCTGCCTACCACCTTTAACTTGACTTTGTCTATGCAGCGGGAGCAGCTGACCCCAGGGACAGAGGATTTCACACCGGCCATGTGCATCTCGCCAGGAGACAGAGAATTCTCCCGAAATCTTGAGGCCAACGTTGAAATCTGTCTCTTCCAAACCTTCAATAAAGGAACAAGGAAGTACCTGCGCTGTGTGTGGGACGCGCCCTCACCACAGCCGCCGGCATCCCGGGAAGGAAAGCGAGGGCGTCTCACCTGCGTACTCGCTCATGTTGATCTCCTCTTCAAAAACGTCGCTGAAACCTTCGCCCGAATTCAGGAGGTCCAGACGGCCATCAATGAACTGCAGAAAGAGCACAGGACAGCAGCTTGAACAAGCGAAGTGCCGGAGCAAACAACAAGCTTGTTTCCCAAGACAGGGAAGGTGCCCCGACGCTGCGAGCTCTCAGAACGCGAGTCTCCACCAGCCGCTGTCTCCGAGCGCCGTCGACTGTGTCTGCACGGGGTCCGCTGGCGGCCAGCCACCCTCTGCACCCGGCCCCTGCCCCTCGCCTCCATGCTCGCAACCGCGGGGCCGGGCACCTGTTTGAAGAGCTGCAGCTGCGTGGCGTTCTGCAGGAACTGTCTCATGGCTCCGGAGCGATAGTGGGAGACAAAGGCTTCCTCGCAGAAGGTGATGGGCTCCTCCTGCAAAACCAGGAGGGGAGAGCAGGGTCAGGGGCACGGAGGGAGTGGTCAGCTCCCTTCTAGACACATCCACACCTGCGAACTTGTCTAGTTCTCCATCGCGAAGCGGCCATCCTGGTGGAAGTCACTCTCAGGGAAGAGTCAGGCCCCAAAGTCACAGAGGGGACAGGAGGCAGGGCAGGAGCCCAAGAGGAGATTCCAATGTCCCGCTTCCGTATCAGCGACAGTCAAACCCCAAGGCAGCGGACACGCCCTCCAATGCCACACTTTGCCAACTCCTCTTTTTGCTTTTAGGAGTGAGACTCCTAATTCCAAGACACTCACACAGAAGGAGCCCTGCCCGCTAAGGCAGAGCTGAGCTGCTATTGGTAGGGGCGGGGCCCTCCTTCCGTGGCCACCTTCTCCTCTCCCACACATGGCAGGCCCTGTGGCCATCCCCGGGGAGGGGGGCGGGGACAACAGGCGAGGAACACAGTTTGAAAACTATTGGCACAGGGATCTCAACTGACAGCAAAGTGTACCTGTAAAGTCATGACTTATTCTAAGGAAGCAGGGATGACCAGAGATAATTTTTTTTTTTTTTTGACAGGCAGAGTGGACAGTGAGAGAGAGAGACAGAGAGAAAGGTCTTCCTTTGCCGTTGGTTCACCCTCCAATGGCCGCCGCGGCCAGCGCACTGCGGCTGGCGCACCAGCTGATCTGATGGCAGGAGCCAGGTGCTTCTCCTGGTCTCCCATGGGGTGCAGGGCCCAAGCACTTGGGCCATCCTCCACTGCACTCCCTGGCCACAGCAGAGAGCTGGCCTGGAAGAGGGGCAACCGGGATAGAATCCTGCGCCGCAACCGGGACTAGAACCTGGTGTGCCGGCGCCGCTAGGTGGAGGATTAGCCTAGTGAGCCGCGGCACCAGCCCCCAGAGATAAAATTTACCACCCAACTAAGAGATTCTCCTGTGTGATGAGGAAATTTGCTTCCACCAAACGACATGTTATGAGTCAAGAAAATGATACAATCAGCTTAAACAAAAAACAAAAATTTGCTTCATAGGAGGGTTCTTCAAAAGTCTGGAAAACGGAACTGAAAGGCGTCCGGGGGCCTGCGCGTGGCCTCGAGGCCGACACACCTGCATTCCACATCGGGGAGGGGGTTCTAACCCAGCTCCGCTTGGGACTCCAGCTTCTTGCTAAGGCAGACCCTGGAAGGCACGATTAAGTGACTGGGTTCCTGTCAGTCACGCGGGAGACCTGGATTTGGTTCCTGGCTCCTGGCCTCAGCACACAGCCCAGCTCTGGGCCACTGCGGGCATTTGTGGGCAGCAGATGGGAACTCTGTCTTTCCTTTTTCTCTCTCGAATGAATGGATAAACAAAGTTTTGAAGTTTATTTTGGAGGGCCATCACTCTGGTGTAGTGGGTCAAGCCACGGTCTGCAATGCTGTCATCCCATACGGGCGCCGGTTCGAGCCCCGGCTGCTCTGCTTCCAATCCGGCTCCCTGCTAATGTGCCTGTCAAGGCAGTGGAAGACGCCCAAGTGCCCGGGCCCCTGCACCCACATGGAGTCCTGATGGAGTTTCAGGCTCCTGGCTCCGGCCTGGCCCAGCCCTGATTGTTGCATCTAATGGAGAGTAAAACAACGCATGAAGACCTTCCTCTCTGTGTAACTCTGCCTTTCAAATGAACAACAAATAAAGCTTCAACAACATTTCTTTGTAATCTGTGAATAGATTTTTAAAATAATTTTCTAGGAACTTTTTGAAGATCCTTCACATATATGGGGTTCCAAAACAAATTTGTTTATTCCATTCTCTCAACCTTTTTGAAGTACCCTTGTATAGTTAACAGCTTCATCTTTTCTGTGAACACAACCGTCTATGCAGACAAATCTCTAATTTCAGCGATGTATTCTTCATTCTGAATGATCAGGCTTTTGTATCTTGGGCTGATTTAAGGGTAAACCCTTTCTCCATTCACAGCCTTGGTGGCAAACACAGAGATGTTGGAAGCTTTACTTTTCTTTTGTTTTCATCAGTTATGGGAGTGATAATTTACTGGTTAGCTTCCATAAGTTCTACAAGTTCCTCCTGCTTAAAACTAGACAACGCCAACTCAGCAGCTGGGCAGACTTATGGCACAAGAGCTGTAAGGATGATCCAAAAATATTAGGATAGGAGGACTGTTTCTACACAATTATACCTACTTTTAGAAACATCTGAGGGGCTGGTGCCATGGCGAGGTAGGTTAATCCTCTGCCTGTGGCGCTGGCATCCCATATGGGCGCCGGTTCGAGTCTCAGTTGTTCATCTTCCAATCCTGCTCTCTGCTGTGGCCTGTGAAAGCAGCAGAAGTTGGCCCAGGTGCTTGGGCCCCTGCACTCGTGTGGGAGACCGGGAGGAGGCTCTTGGCTTTGGATTGGTGGCCAGTTAGGGAGTGAACCAACGGAAGGAAGACCTTTCCCTCTGTCTCTTCCTCTCAGTCTCTGTAACTCTACCTCTCAAATACATAAATAAAATCTTTTTAAAAAAAAATCTGAGCAGCTTACCTTAGTACCTAACACAAATATAAAAATCAAGGCTGAAAAATACTTAAATATATAAAATGTATTTATCTGGGAAAAGAAGATCTAGACAGGTAGGTCCTATATGGCTTCTACAACTAAATTACAAAAATTAGGTCTGAGCTTCCTGGCTGCCAATGCAAGAAGGGAAACGATGTAAAGTGTATGAGAGAAAAAAAAGTATACTAGATCCTTGGGCAAAAGAGCTTTTCATGACATTTATTACTTTACAAGGATTTCACACCCTCCATGTAGAATAGCAGAGAGGCCAGCTACTGCTAACCAGCAGACATCCAGAGAGAATTCTGAAGTCCTGTGGCTTGGAAATTTTGCTTCTCACCCCTAGGACCACAACAGGGCAATGAAATCTCTCTCCAGGAACCACATCCATGTGTACAGCATCACTTATGCACTGGTGACTCCTGTGCCCATTCTCAGCTCAATCCAGGGCTCACTGGCACCTCCTACTCAAAATGGCCTAAACCCTCGATCACTATCCCACTAGGACTATACCCGTGTCATTTTCTTCTTTCTTCCTGCATTTCCTGTATCCCTACTACCAACGGCAGACCTACCAGACTTCCACAACCTTCCCGGGCCACCAGCAAAGGCTCTCACATGTTCATCCCCTGCTCTGGCTACACGGGCCTGGCAGGCCTGCATTGTCTCGGGCAGGGTCAGCTCCATGCCCCTCTCCTGTCTTGTTCTTCCCAGCCCACGCCAACTCTTCCTGCTGGAGCACTTTCCAAAGTGCTCACTGATCAGGCCACTCCCCTACTCCTGAGCCCGGACTGCACGGATGTTGCCTCTGTATGAGGACTGACGTCCGTTTCCCCAGCAGACTGTACGCTCCACGTGGGCAGGAATGGGTTGCTCAACACTGTGTACCCTTCTCTCCCAGAGTCCTCGTTTACTTATGATTATAAGACAAAGGGAATCCTCCCACGTGGATGGCAGGACCCGGTGACTTGAACCATCACCTGCTGCCTCTACAGGTCTGCATTAGTAGGAAACTGGAGCCAGGACTGGAACTCAGGTGCACACCGGCCCTCCTGCCCCCATGCATGTCTTGGGCTTTATACACACCCTCTGCGCACAGCTGTGGCCTTTCTCACTGTCTTCCCTGCTTTCTCCAGGTCTGCTCCTTCCACCTGGCCTATCCCTGTCCCAAATGCAGGCCACAGGGACAGTGCAGAGCCCAGGCCCAGTTAGAGCCACAGGGTGATCTCTAGCCAGGTTCCTGCCTCAGGAGTCCCGTGGCCCTGGCCTGGCCGAGAAGACTCGGCGCACAGGGCCAGGTGAGTGACTCTTGTGTCCCAGGGCTTGGGGCTATGTGGCCCAGTCGCCAGGAGGAGGTGTGCTGCGGGACGGCCTTCTGAGAGCCAGTGCGGCCAGCTCCGTGTGCAAGGTGCCCTGGGGCCGGGTGCAGCTGCGGGCGAGCGGGCCCAATCCTGTCTTGGTGGAGACAGGAATGCTTGCCGCCTGATGTCTACTTACTGGAGCTGATGTGCCCCTGGATCAGATGTCTGCCATCAACACAGACAACAGCACACATCTTTTCTGGACGGGAAAGATGGCAGGGAATATGGCAAGGGAGAGCTTTTTCCGCAAAGAGCCCAAAGAACTGGAAACAAAGACAAGGCTAGCAGGGTGCGGCAGGAGTCAGAAGAAAAAAAGGTGACTCCCCCCAGGGCAGTGCATCAGAACACACAAGAGCAGGCGGGCGCTTCCCACTGGGGTCCCGCAGGGTGAATACGAGTTGGGTGAGCAGATCCCCACGGTTCAGGCCCCAACTGTGCTAGCCTTATCTTGCTGAGAGCCAGTGACCTGTCCCCAGTGCCAAGCAGAGGTCTGGATCGCAGTGGGAACCAAGGGCACATTCTCCGGTAGTCACTCAGGTCTTCAGACAGTGACAACCATCACCCTCCATTCGTCTGACCACAGCCTCCGGTGGAGGTGCTGTGCGAGGCTTCGCAATTCCATTTCTCACATGGAAACTTTAATGCAATTACACGCAAGTTTTCCAGATGAGTAGCTGAGGGAAGGTAACTGCCCCAGGAGACAGGACACAGAAATGGCAGTCAGGGTTTAACACGGGTGTTGCCAACGCCCAGGGGCTGTCACTGCGCACATGGTCTACCGTAGACCTGGCTTTAATCCAGGGCTCGGACATCCGCTGGAGGACAGGACCTGACCCTCAGAGAGCACCAGCAGCTCTGAGAGCCAGTGGGCTGTGGCCACAGGCCGGGGACAAGGATTCCAGCCCTGTGCTATCCGCGCCACAGCAGGGGAAGGAAAGGTGTCGTGTTAACTCCCCCTTTGTAGTAACGAGCGCTGGTTTCATTCTCGGATTAGTCTGATTAAACCTTTTATCTTCCTGGGTGACACCCTAGGCACGGGGGCTCCTGGCTGGTGGCAGCGTTCACGCACGGACGCCAGGCGTGAGCA